CAAGAACAATGAGAGATAAAGGCTTGAAACTTTACAGATATATGTAAAAACAGTAGCTGAACAATTGTTATTAAGTGTCAAAAGATTGTTAACTTAATAAAATTTTGAGTAAATTGAGAAAAAGTAAAAAATATTTTGGACGAAATTTTGTGTACAATTGATAAGCAGAAAGAGTTTTTTATTACAAATTTATTTTTATTATATATATATATAACAAACCTAAAGTAAATAGAATATAATAGTACATGAGTAACTTAAAACATCAAAAATAATTCATAAAAACAAGATTTTTTTTAAGAAAATCGAATTTTACACTAAATATATAAAGTTATTGGAAATGTCTTTCTTAAAACTTAAATTTTAATGTAATTTGGGTAATTTTTGATTAATTGATTTTAATATTATAACTTATGTCTTAGGGCCAGGGATGGCACATTAAAAACCACAGACCAATAGACTATAGGATCTTTTGGTTTTTATTTTTTGGTCTATTGATTAATAACGAATAGACTATCAATAGACCACTAAATGACCATTTATTTTAAAAAATTCTTATTGGTCAATATGTATTATATAAATAGTCATTAATTAATGGATTTTTTTTAAAAAAAAAATTTTAATTGGTAAATATGTATCATGTGAATGATCATTTGGTTATGACCTAAAGACCAATAAACTTGGTCTATTGGTTTATTGATCTTGGGTTTAAGCAAAAGACCTGGTCATTTGCCATCCCTGCTTAGAGCAGAATATTTAGTTGTTGTATCAAATGTATAATGTGAAAGAAAATTGATTAATGAAAAATTAACTAATCATATAAAAATTTGAAGATATCTAAAAAAAATATTTTCAATAACTTAGATAAAGTTCGATTTGCTTAGTAAAAAAATTCCGTTCTGTGTCAAACGATTATTTGCTAAAGAAAATTGATGTACAGTACATTATCACATGGGGGATAGCTAGGCAAGGCTTATAGGTAAAATTGCCTTCCTGACATTTTTTATTAGTTCCTCGAGACAGGTTTATACACGTTTTTTTTTCTAATTTTATTACTTGATTGGCTGTTTGTCACGTGAACACACATGACTTTAGACGATCACCGCATGGGTGGATTTGACTTAACGAATAATGCTATTTTTTTGGGTAAAATTTTAACTTTGTCGAAGTTTTTAAACGGATAATAAAATAATGTAAAAAATTACTATCAAAGTCGTTTTCTTTTTATGATTAATTTGAAGTACATTTGATGAAATATGAATTTTATAAGTTTTAAATAATTATCTCTTTTCTGAAAGCTTTTATTAATAACTATTCTTAACTGCGCCATTATACCTCCCGTTACTCTATATAATAAAATACGAGCGAGATTAATAAAGTATAATGTTATTTAAATACATATGATAACCTGTTAAATCTGGTAAAAAATTAATTTACCCATACATATCGGGTTAACAGTTTATTAAAACTTATCGATATAGAATACCTGATACCAGGTAGTTTTTAAACCACGTACGTACGTACGTACGTACGCACGTAGCTTATTTTATTTATAGCTTATAACGATAACGATAACGATAACGCTAAGATTTTTAACTTTAAATCTTTATACGTATTTATCAATAAATTAAATTCAAATTAATTTTGATCAAATATAACCTAACTAGATAAAATAAAGCTAATGAATGATATCATTGGTAGCAACCTCTAAGACTGTTTTTTCGTGTAAATTTAATTTATGCGATATTTAAGGATAGTTAATATGCGATATTAAGGATAGTTAATCTTGTGACTTTTATTTGTTCATTTGATCGTACGACAAATCAGCCAAAGTACAAACCTAGAAACTTGATTTTCACATCATATACAATTAAGTGAATTATTAGTATACCAATATATGTCCGTACGTCCGTACGTCCGTACGTCCGTAAGTACGTCCGTCCGTACGTATGTAAGTATAGACATGCTTCAAATATTTGTTTATTTGTTTATATCGCGCAGGTTCATTATTTTAATAAATCTATATGAAAAGTGTCTTTCACTTTTTGATTAAAATAGGAAAGCGCCATTTTTTCGTTAATTTATTGTATTGGAGAAAATCAAGTTAATAAAGTTTACGTAAGATTATTTATACAAGCATCAGGATGATTTCCGGAATGATAGGAGCTTTTCGAAGACAAAAAAACAATGCGATTCTAAATCGGGAAAGCACATACGTATTCAATTAACGTTAAATCCATGTTGAGGTACAAATACTCAACGTGCATTCAGGGGATACTTGTATTCCCTAAATTATCAATACTCTGTTTCATCCATTTCGCTTCTGTAAAAAATTGACTATTATATAGAAAACTAAAATTCCAGTACATCAACAACCAACTTATCAATGCAACCTATCAATGTTGCCTTGTCTACTATTCGTCCTAATGTGACAATTTATGGCGGCAACAGACCAAACTTCCTTTCGTCATGGTTTTTTCTTTGGATATTTCGTTTGTTAAAAATATCCACAAAACATAATTTAGGAGACGAAAACCTGACTTTACAAGAGTCCGAAAGGGCGCAGTTTGTAGGTGACAGGTTGGAAGGTTTTTGGGGAGTTGAGCTTGATAATAAAAAAACTAGGTATTTAATTTATGACTTACAATTTCGATAATTGTATCAATTTATAAAAATCTTGTTCATGTTCATGTCTTGTTTTGGACAAGCCATCCATCCAATTTACTTTATTTGAACTTTGGTGATTGATCCTGCTCGATGAACTTTTAAAATGGTTAAAAAGTTGTGTAATATGCTAAAATATCCTTAACCATTTTATATATGCTCAAGTAAACCTTCAATTTGTCGGGCTCTTATCAAATCGTTTGGAACTACTTATGCTCTTCTTGGACTTTATAAACTCTTCGCTGCCGGATTCATGTTTGTTGGCTATTATTATATTATAAATCAACTCATTTTACTCATTGAAATGCAAAACATATCAGAGCAAGCAAATGTTACTGAGCATTTATATGCTGTGGGCTTTTTCTTGTGCGCTTTAGCGTTTAGTATATTTAATAATCAAGTCACTTCCGAATCAACGCGAATAGGTGTTCAGGTAATTTTTTTGACAAATACGTTCGTTATTCAATTATACCATATACTTCATCAGAATACAATCTAGGTTCGTGCTGCATTAATGGTTTTGATATATCGGAAATCATTACGACTTGGTACAATCGGTGGCGGTATTGGTGATGTTGGTATGTGCCTCTTAATTATTAACATAATATAATGTACATAATGTTATCATTCATTATTTAATATTAATTTAATTTCTTTCTTTTTTTTTTATTTATTGTCATTAACAGTGAAATTTATATCTAATGACTGCAATAAGTAAATTTCTTAGCATTTATATTATACTCCTCGTCAAAATTCATTCAGATATCAGCAAATTTTCTAATAACAATCGGATTAACGATATATTAGATGAATTTTTACTGGTATCTGAATGTTTTTTGTCAAAGAGTCAAAGAGTTTGTTCAAAAATTTTGTCTCCATGTTTATTTTATTAATATGTTTTAATGCAACGCTTAGAGTGGCAGAGGCTTGTGTAAATTTCCATTTTCTATGGAGCTCTGCGGTAGAAATAATAGGTATTTATCAATTTTTTACAAAATTTTACATGAACTTATCCATGAGCTTTAAATAATTATATATGTATATAAATCAATAAATATAAATATATATATGTGTATGTATTGGTATAACTTATCAAACGTCATGTAGTCATGATTGTCTTGGTTTGGATCCAGTTGAATTTGGCGGCCTTACCTGGTATATATTATATAGTTTATAATTATTCTAATTATTTTTTAAAAACAATTAATTTTTTTATGTTATTAACTTTATGATACTTTTTATGATATTTATGATATTTGACATTTCAGCCTTGATTATTCTTCTTATATTGTTTCCTATTCAGTACAAACTCGGTAGACTTACGTCGAATATTTACAATTCAATATCAAACATCACTTCTTCACGTATTCATCTCATGTCAGAAATTTTAACTGCCATAAAAGTTATTAAATTTTATGCTTGGGAAACTTATTTCCGTGATCGTGTTGGTAAGGTTAGAACTAAGGAATGGACTCAATTGATTACTGGTCTTGTTCTTAAAATATGGACATTTTGTGTTGTATTCGGTGCTCCCATTTTGGCTATGCTGGGTTGTCTTTGCGTTAGGCTTGTGGCATACAAATATCCTGACAATGTGTTGTACCCCAATACAATGTTTACTGTCCTGGCTTTATTTTATACTGTAAGGTGAATAATAATGACTCATAATAATGCCTAATAATCATGCTTCATTTAGAATGAAAAATTTTGTAGGATTTTAATACTAATTTTACATTAATATCATTTAAAGATATCCGCTTATAATGCTTCCTGTTGCTGTGAGAACTACTTTGGGTAACAACATTTGGATTATAAATTAATTATTATTTTCATCAACTTTTAATAATCATTGGTTCAATTCAATACTTTAGGTGCATTGGATTCTTTTGAACGTATAGAAGAATTTTTATTAAGACCTGAATTGGATCCTTTAACAGAAGAAGGTAGTCCAATAAATGATGATCCGGCAATCAAAGTTCATATTCATGACGCTGATTTTTCCTATGAAGGGACCAACGGTCCGGCTTTGAAATTTTTAACCATGACAGTAAAACAAGGTGAAGTTGTTGCTGTAGTTGGTGATGTTGGTGCTGGAAAATCTTCAATACTGGCTGCAATTTTAGGTCAGCTTCGTAAAGATAATGGTACTCGAAAAATTCGTGGTTCAATATCTTATGTTCCTCATGATGCGTGGTTGTTAAATGCTACTTTAAAGGATAACATTCTTTTTGGCAATGAATTCGATGCCGAAAGATACCAAGAAGTTATTCAAGTATGTGCATTACGAAAAGATCTGGATTTATTAAGTAATAATGATATGACAGAAATAGGTGAAAGAGGTGTGAATTTGAGTCTTGGTCAGAGGCAAAGAGTTAGTTTAGCAAGGGCTGTGTATTCTGATGCTGATATTGTATTATTGGATGATCCGCTTAGGTCAGTATTTTGTTTATTTTTATTATTTATTTTTTTTATTATATATTTTTTTTAATATCCTGCTTTATTATTTTAAAGTGTTATGGATCCTGTAATAGGAAAACATATTTTTCACGAATGTATTCGTAAATACCTAAAGGTATTATTATATTCATAATTATTAAATAAAATAATTTTGAATTCGCATTTATTAATTCGGGGGTTTTTTTTCTATGCCACAGAAAAAAGCCATAGTTTTTGTAACAAACCAATTACAGGCATGTACATTTCATATATAATACTTGTTTTTAAATAAATTTTACCATTTTCTTATCAGACAAAATAAAATTTCTAGTTTCTATCTGAATGTGATCATATTATAGTGATGAAGAACGGTGAATGTACAGAAGAAGGAACATATGATGAATTAATTAAAAAAGACGTATCTCTCGCTTCATTGATTAATGAGTACATGGAAATAGAAGATCCTGATCAAATTGATGAACTTATTAATGAAATTCGTCTTGAACCAGTTCATGTAGATGATGACGAGAACGTTGATGACTTGGATATTGTTATCACAGACTATTCTAGACAAATAAATTTTAGTAATAATAACAAAAATAACCATACTCTTACACTTAATCGTACAATATCCAACACCGAAGCTAATGAACATACTATTTCACGTATAATGGAACTTAATGTACACACACTTCAGGACATTAATGAGAGAACAATTTCTAAAGTTATCGAACGAAACAACTTAGCTGTTCTTAGTGGTGCTGGCAGAACAAGAGTGATGGGTCCTAAAGTCAATCGTGAAATGAATTTTACAGCCATTGCTGTCGAGAAAAATCAATTGACCATACATAGTTTAAATGAACGTGAGGGAATTACACCAACTATATTGGAATTTGATGCAAAAGCAAAGAGAAAAGAATTTAAAGCTGGGTTTGGCGTATATCTTGATTATTTCCGGAAATCAACCGGACTTGGTATAACCTTCTTGATGATATCATTATTCTTTATCATGACCGCTATAAGAATATTCAGCGGTATTTATCTGTTACCTACAATATTAAAAAATCGGTTTAAAACTCTCATTACTTATAAGTAAATTAAAGAACTAATTTTGAATTTTGTACATATTAGATTGGTGGCTAATAAAGTTAGTAGAAACCGGTCCAGACGCCAACTTTGGTTATCTTCTTGGAGTTTACGGTACATTAGTGGTAAGATTTTGTCAATTATTTATATTAATAATTATTATTCATTATTATTATTTACCATTCATTATTATTTAAATAACAAATTTCGTGTAACTTTAATTAAATAGGGTGTTGTTCTCATCGGTGTTTTCGCGCGTGGTGTATTATACGCTTGGGCAGTAATGCGAAAGAGTGAGTCTTTACATGATCGAACGTTTCTGGTTAGTATTTTCTTTCACTTGGCAATAAACCTTGATAATATACTTGTACCATAAATGACATTCATTATTATTCTCTACAAATTAAAAAAAAAAGAAAATAATGCGCGCTCCAATGTATTATTTTGACGGTACTCCTCTCGGACGTATATTGAACGTATTTGCCAAACATCAGTACCTTGTTGATGACGTTCTAAGTGACAATGCGTTACAAGTAAAACTTTTTAATAATGATTCAGACTTTTTTGTAATATTTATTTCTTGTATTAAAATTTATATAATCGTCTTAATTCTTTATAGTTCTTGACTTATGTTCCTCTTGTTATTGGTACCATCGTATTTGTCATTGTTCTCATTCCATATACCGCAATAGCCGCTGCAGCATTGATCTTTTTAACATGGCTTATTATTCACTATTCAAAGGATGTGGAAGAAAGATTTAAAATGTTGGATGGTGATCATCTATTTATAGAAATTTTTGCCCTATTAAAATTTATAATATAAATAATATTAATACTTTTTAATTTTTTTGTTTAGCTAATAGTAAGCCACCTATTTTTGCACATTTGTCAGCTTCATTAGAAGGGCTTGCAAGCATTCGTGGTTATAAGGTTGAAAAAAGATTTGATAATTTAAATATTGAAAAGGTTGATTCAAATAATAAGGCATTATTTACTTTGATGCAAGGTATATGCGATAGCGCGATTTAATATTAACTAACATGGCTTAATTTCAACAAATATTAATGGTTTTTTTGTCAAATAATAGTCAAGTCCTGGCAATCATTATACATTGACATAATGGCATCACTTTTCATTTATACCACTACATTATTTGTCATTCTTTTACATCATTCAAACAGTGTTAGTCCATCGTATGCAGGTTTAGCGATTGTAAGCGCATCGCAATTACTTATCTTCGGTCATTCTATGATTCGTTCTGGTCGTGATGTTGCAGCAATTATGGATAGTGTACAACAACTATTATATTTCCGTCAAAATATACCATCCGAGGTAAAAAAAAAATGATTTATTATTATTATGAGTTAAAAAAAAAAATTATGTATTTAAAAAAAAAAATTTTAAATAATACCTTAATTAAATTTTATAGGCACCTAGTATCATCGATGGAAATCGACCTCCACCAAATTGGGGTGAACGTGGAGAGGTATTTAAATGATATTTAATGAAAGCTTATTAAAATTTTGTTTCCGTATAAAAATAATTAAAAAATCTTTTATATTATTTTAGATTAAATTCGAGAATGTCATCCTTCGTTACAATTTATATGGTGTGGCTGTTCTCAAAGATATTTCCTTCCATATCAAACCTCGGGAAAAAGTTGGTATTATAGGAAAAACTGGGTCAGGTGAGCTTTATCATATTGTTTTTTATCATTGACATAAAGAGTTTAATAAACTCTTTATGAAAAGATTTTTTTCGCACAATATTGCGTAGGTCATTGACTCATATATGATCAATTATGTTTGTATTAAAAATTGTTATGTTTATAACTTGTTATTATAAGGCAAATCGACGTTACTTGTGAGTTTGTTACGAATAGTCGAATTAGCAGGTGGTTATATTTGGATCGATGACGTGGACATTAGTACCATTGGATTACGAGACCTCAGAAATAAGATTGCAATTATTCCGCAAGGTATATATCTTTTTTTTTTTAAAAAAAAAAAAAAAAAAGTGTTATATTATAATTTATAATAATTTTCTTGTACAAAAAGAACCTGTGATATTTGCCGGCACAATAAAATCAAATCTTGACCCATTCGGTAAATGTACGGATGAAGAAATATGGAATGCACTCGAAGCAGTTCATTTAGATGGAAAGGTTAAATCAATGCCAGATAGATTAGGAACAGCAGTTCTTGAAAGTGGAAAAAAATTTTCACTTGGTCAAAGACAATTATTTTGTATAGCCAGAGCACTTTTGAAAAAAACAAATATATTAATCTTGGATGAGGCAACAAGTGCTGTTGATGCGGCAACTGACCGTTTAATTCAAGACACAATTAAATTACATTTCGCTGATCATACCGTTTTAACGATAGCTCACCGACTGGTAAACATTAAATTTATATATCGTTATCTATATCGTTATATATATTGTTATTTTTTTTATTAAATAACTCTTACGTTTTATTTTTCAGAATACAATAGTGGATGCAGACAGGATATTATGTTTAGATGAAGGACGTGTTGCAGAATTTGATACACTAAGTAATCTATTAAGTAATCCGAATGGATTCTTTTACCAGTTAGTAGCACATAGTGGACCAGATATAGCTCAAAGATTAAGAGAAAAAGTAGGAATACATGAAATACATGATGGATCATCATCAAGTAAAAATGTCGATAATAATTCAATAAATCCACCAAATACAAGTGATACGATAGATAACCAACAAACATCGACTCATACACATCATATGCCGCAATCATTAGAAGTTTTTGAACCATCTCCACCTTCAACAACATCAAAACCATTATAAATTTATGTTTTTTTTTTTACTTTTTTTTTTTTTGCTTTAGAATGAGGTTTTTATTCAAGGGCATAAATGTAATATATTTTATTTCAAATTAAGATTTATCTTACGTTCAATTTATATAAAAGTTACGATAATTGTTTTTATGGAAAATTAAATTATATTATTGTACGTAACTGTTTATCACCGTATTTATTTATTTATTTAAAATATTAATAAAATATTAGTAATATTTCTGGTATCAGAAAACCATCAAACTGTTTTGTAAAATTAAAGTACTGCATAAAAAAACTATCAAATTTTAAGCAGAAATTGAATTTTATTTTGATTTTAAACTTACGCGTTATATAAAATAAAATGTATTTGTGGTGGTTTTTAGTGGCTAGGTTTAAGGTTTAATCGTAATTTCAATCGATTATTATTATGCGGTAGCCGTCGACCGATTTTTAAAAATCGATTTAGTTGAATTTATAAATTTGAACCAACTATAAAAACACTAAGAAACTAAGTTATCATAATCATTGCTAGTGTTTAATATAAAATTTTAAAGGGTTTATTGTTTAGCAATTTAATTTGCACATGCATGTACACGGGTAAAATTAATTAAAACTACTTTGGATTCTAATAAAAATGATTTCTTGCAAAGATTTAAGCATAAAATTTAATTAGTATATAAAATACCCTCACATCGAGACTAGCACTAACAAGATTTAAAGAAATCAGATAATGTTTTACAAAGCGTATCTGCTGATACTTTTCCTTTTGATCCAAGAGAATTAATACTAAGATTTAAGTTTTTCAGAAATGGTATTCTGCAAAGCGCATCTGATGACCTTTTTCTCCCCCTGGACAAGATTATTCTATTTAATTAACCAAAGAGATCAGCGCAGTGTTCTGGCAAAGTGCATTTCTTAATGCTTTTGCTCTATATGAACCAATTTCATAAAGGTTCAAATATTTTAGTAATAGTGTTCTTGTCTGCCAATACTTTTCCTTCTCCCGCACCAAGGTTATTCTTTGCAAGAATTAAAGAAATCAACTCGTTGTTTTGGCAAAGTGTGTCTGCAAATACATTTGTACCTTCTATTCCAATATAATTATTCCAAAAAAATCAAAATTTTGTAATGTAGTGTCCTTGCAAAGCGTACCTGCTAACACTTTTCTACCTTCTGATTTAAGGTCATTACGAACAAGGTTCAATGGAGTTAGCGTGGTGTTCGTATAAGGTGCATTCGCTTCTGATCCGAATTTATTCTGATTCAAAGAAGTTTGCGTGATGTTCTTACATCTAATATTTTTCCTTCTTCTAATCCAGGTTTACTAGCGACCAAGATTCAAAGATATCAGCGTGGTGTCTTGCGGAGTACATTGGCTATTGCTTTTTCCTCTTCCAGATTTAATATCGTTACCATAAAGATCATAAAGGTTCAAAGAAGCCCAAGTGGAAGCCTTATAAAGGAACGTTTTTTAATACATGATCGCCAATTTTTTCATTATAAGTTAAATTAAGATCACTTAAAAAGCATTGAGATCAAAGAACAGATAAATAAATCTTCGATCAATTTCATGAGATAATCTATCTCTCCGAGTTTAAATAACCTCCAATATAATTATAAATTTAATTACTGTTGTTTCCATGGTGTTATATAATATTAATGGCGCTTTTATTTAGCCAGCCAATCAGAATTCAAGATCCGGTGTAACACGAAAAAACGCAAAAAATCAAAACAAACCAAAAAATCGTTCATAACTCAACATTTACCTATGAAACTACTTTCTGCGCATTAACAAAAAGTTTTCCTTGCGAAATTTTGGTAGTAGGAAAACTTTCTTTAACCTAACTTAATAGCTTAATTTAACTGCGAAATTTTTTTTAGCGAAATTTTTTAAGTTGGTGACGCTACTTTTTAGTCCGGAAAATTTTTGATGTTGTGACTAAGATCAATGGCGCAGCTATAGCCGCAGCTAATAATTTACAATAATCGATGTCAGTATTAAATCTCAATTAAGGCAGGGCGTAAAATACCAACTTATTTACCGGCCATTCAAAAATCTCGTTCTTGATTCAAATTATTTAAATTATTCTAATCATCAAAAAAGACGCTTGAAACAATGGGCTGGTCGATTCTTCATGAATTAGTGATAATATGTCTGACATTTTTTATTATTAGTATATTAAGTTCACATTTTTTATTATTAAAATATTTCAGGAACGCGGCATACATCTATTCAATGCAGTTAAAGAATCCGGGTAATGATTTTATAGTTGGTAACAATATGTATCCCGCGCATCATAATTTTTTTTTTATTAGTACAGTGCGGGAATCCTTAAAACAACTTATAGTTTATAATATCAAAGCATAAATTAATTTTTTAAAAAATTTTTTTATAATTCTGGCCAGAATTATAATAACTTCGGCCAGAATCACGGTAATTCTGGCCAAATTAATAAAAATAGTTAATTTTGAAACTTTATAAAAGTATTAAAACTTATAATAAATTAAAAAACCAAATTTCATCTTTATCATAAAGTTTATAAAAAGAAAATTTGTTCTAGCTATACTAGTTAATTTTTTATAACAATTTAAAAACTATCTATTTTACATGTTGATTTACGAGCAGTGATGTAAATTGGATTCGCGCGGGTACATAGATTTCAATTTGCGCATATATCAGTGCTCTCCGTATATATAAAGCGCGCGTTTGCGCCAATAAAAATTTTTTGAATTTATAACACTGGTTTCGAGTTTACATTTCAGAAACTCAGAATACTCCTAATACAATGAAATCATAAAACCTGTGACAACGATTTTATATTTCGATTATTTATTGTTTATTATTATATCGAGGCAACATACGAAATAACAGGAACACAACTAACAATACATATTTTGTATTAAGAAGAAATTACCAAAAATGTATTTTATTTAATAAAAAATAACAATATATTCAAAAAAAGATAACAATACATTTAATAAATTGGGTATTAAAATTAATTTTTTAATATAAAACAATAATGCAAGTAAAAATAAAAAGATTAATTAATGCAAACGCATATTTCGAGGATAATAGTTATTAATAAGTTATTTTTCTTTAAAATAGCGAGGCTACCTTGAATGGGAATTTTCTGAATCATATACTACAAATCAAATTTCTTATATAAATGTATACTTACCGTATTGTCGCGAAATAACGCACCCCGACGCGTTATTTTGAGTATAGGCGCGTTATTTAGAGTACGCACCGGGGCGTTATTTTGAAACAAATATAAACTTTTTAAGTAAACAAAAAAGTGCTTTGGAAGTAAGTTTGGAACTAAGTAAACCTACTTCTGAAGCATTTTTTTTAGGATGCGCGTTATTTAGAGAAGCACTGGGGCGTTATATTGAAATCATATTATATTATTTTTAGGAGGTACGATTTTCTAAATAACGTCCCGGCCCGTTATTTTGCGACAATATGGTATGAAGTTTGTTATGACAACTTTGTAAACTCTTTCCTAGCTATCCTATAAACAATCTTATTACACATCCGAGTCGAATTTTCTTTATTCCATTCAACAAATTTTACATTTACTTATCGATATGTATTTACACTTAAATCAAAGTTTAAATTTACATGATGCACGATATATAAACTATATAACAGTATAATTTGGGGTTACGATGTAATTGTAGAATCGAATTCTATCACGTCCAAAAATCTTCATTAATCGATGTGAATCCACTAGAATCACCCAAAAAACAGGTAAGTATCAAATGTTCAAAAATTAGCAGATTAACATATGACAAAAAAACAGCTACCTTATTTTTGCGAAATAACACAAAGTGTAATTTTGGTTTTCGGACTAAATCAAGCTTAGTTTAGTTAATTATTTGAAGAAAATTTCGACAATACGTAAACTCTTATCGCTTACCGCCTTTAAGCAATTGTATTATCGTTCATACTTACAGTAATAGGCATTATAAATCCACTATATTTTTTTATTGAGCTTGAAAAGGTTTTACAAACTTTTCTCGATTACAAGTCACTATACGCAATTCAAATCAGAATCTTCGAAGTTATATTACTTATCTAAAGCATATCTTGTCTTTAGGATGACGTTTGGTTCGTGTTCAAAGACATACATTGAGTGTTAAATTGATTGCTTCAAGATTCGTTACGACTTGTCATCGATTGGTTATTTCTATGCCGCCCTGGTCGATTCTTGGCAACTAATCGATTGGCAAAATTTTTACCAACTAGGAACACTAGCGTGATCACTGGTAATATGAAATGAACTTATAAAATCGCATAACAATCGTAAATCGTCATTGTATTTAATTAGTCATTATTTTTCTTAGCTGTATATTACTTATAAAACTGATAATGAAGTTGCATAGTTGCAACTAATCGATTTTTTATATCATGTGACTAAATTCGTCGATTAGAATCAATTAGTTGTTTTAAATTTTTCTAAAGCGATTAGTTGAAAAGTTGTCAACTAGTTGATTTTCAACTAATCACTATGATTAGAGATGTTGTTGGCTTGGATAGCTTAGCTTAGCTCAAAAAAGCCATAGTCAAGCTATAACTAAGCCATGGTTTAAGCTATTAGCTATAATTAAAGCCAGGATCAATAGTTATTTTTTTATAACTTTAAGCAATTTTTAAACTATAGCTCAAGCCATGGCTTAAACTATTAGCTTGGCTTAACTTCAGCTTGGCTTCAAACTGTGGCTAAAGCTGGCTTCAAGTAAAGCCAATGACATCCCTAACTATGATCGATCACCATATTAGGGTTAGAGTTTATAGTAAAATTTCACAAGGAATTTTTTTACGTATTACAGTAAATTTATAAAATTAATGAAATCTTAATTATATATGAGTGCCTAAATTCAGAAGGATTTACGCATTACAGTATGCCCGATATTTTTTATATTTTCGGCCGAAATGCCGAAATTATTTTCGGCTGCTGTAATTACGGTTGCAATAATTATTTACAGCTTCAGAAAATGTTTTCGGTT